AGACTGAAGAAAAAGTCAAAAGATTAACGATTGTAAGTTCACATTTCATATTTTTTATTCTTCCTATCAAAGGCCTAAACAGATCAGAAGGCCTGCACAGATCAGAAGGCTTTCATGGATCAGAAGGCTTTCATGGATCAGAAGGCCTTCATGGATCAGAAGGCCTTCATGGATCAGAAGGCCTTCATGGATCCTGTATGAACCTGTGACTATGGAACAATACAACTAAAGCAATATCAGTTTCAAGTGGTATTTGATGGATCTGCCTGTAGAGGATAACTTACCTTGCGCAATTGAACATCGTGTTTTACACTAATTTCATCAATTGGAACATGACCAACTAAAATGGAAACCTTCTCCTTGTCCAGTTTTGATGAAAGATTATTGATAAAATCTACAGTTTTGTTGTAGATTTTTCTTTCCTCTTTAAAAGGTTTTCTTCTCAACAAACTTGCCGAATTGATCTGTGTAAATTCAATTATTCAACACATACAACATACTGTAAAATAATTCTAATACATACATATTGATATAATTTGGATACATCAACAAAGTTGAAATGGTAAATTGGCCACTGTAATGATTACAAAAGCTGACGTTTCGAGCGTTAGCCCTTCGTCAGAGGGCAAACATCAATATATATTGCTTAAGTGACCAAGGCACCATTTCTTCCACTACTCTGAACGGTGTCTGGTTATCAAACACACAGTAATAAAGTGCAGCAAACCAGAGCAATAAAAACTCATAAAACTTAATAAAATGACTGTTAATAAAGTAATTAATTAAGTCTAGTAACTAAATAGATCCAAAGTTATATTTCAGGTTACAAATCTAAGGAAGGCAGTTTGGGTCTTTACGCAAAACCTGTCCATTTTGTTTTGTTTCCTGATATTTTCATTCCTTGAACCTCAACACCTCTAACAATGTGATCTCCAGTGAAAAAAGAACAAGGCTATTATCCAGCCATCTTGATCAAACAAGATTGGTTAATAAATGATTTATTATATTACAAAAAGATTTTGCTTGTAGTATTAAGAGTTAAGAAATGACTCGTTTACTTTGAGAGCTGTGAAAGAAAGCCAACTGTGTTTGCAGCAGAACAAACTGAAGAGAGTTGTTTCTGATTTCTTTGTTTTGTCTATCTTCTGTCACTTTTTTGTGTTTCCATGGCCGAAATTGTCAAAGAATTATGAATGTAGTTCTAATTCAATCTATTTTTTTTGTGCCCAGGATCAATGTGGGCAATCTCTAGCAGGCAAGATAGGCTCAGCTTGCTTGCTCAGGTAGCCGATCAGAACACAGGATTCACTTCATCTTGCCAACACGCACTGCGAGCGATGCAATAAACAACAACATTATGCAGTCTCCACTGGCATACCTTAACTATTTGAAAAGCCTTCAGTTTTACAACATCATTTATGGGACCAAAGTGTTGTTGAAATCTCAAAGTCTTTTTTTCTGTGAGGATATCACTCCATTCACCTCCAATGTCATTGTCCCCAGCAACATAGATCTTGACAGATCTGTCATGGATGTGGAAAATTTTATCATGTCTGGCCTGGAGAAAACAAGGAATAAAACATTGTTAACATCTATTTAGTAACCACCTGTTTTACTAATCTTTGTAAATCTATTATGAAGGTATCTACAGAGTCAAAACTAATAAATTACTACACCCTAAACCTGATACAAGCATTAGGTTTTTACAACCAAAGAGATAGGGAAGCCTCATAACTCTACATTGAGGAGAGCAAAATTACAAACCCTCCAAAAATGCTATCTTCAAATGGGGCTGGGATGGAAAGATCTTCTTTATCACAGATGAGTGGTTCCATTTATTAAAGCTAACAAAGCTGTCATGTAACTGCATGTAAAGATTGCTGGTACATTACCTTATATTCCTGGTACTGCTCATCTGTAGCAACTGATCCTTCGTCGAAAATGTCACCTGAGATATCAAAACAAATTGCAATAAATTTGTAGATGACTCACACAGGATAAAAAAAAAAACAGTGATAAATCTTAATAATAAGTAATACTAAAAAATCAGATTCAGCAGTGGGGGTCCATGACAAAGCTCCTGTTGTGTCTTCATCTGGTAAAAATCAAGGGTGGAGGAGTGACAAAGTCAGTGGAAAAAGACAAATTAGCAAGAAGCATTAATAACTCAAAAGCACAATAAAATCTTTGCACTATGGTATGTTTGTTTCCTTCAACCATTTTTGGCTCATCCTTGGTGTAAAAACCTGTGAAGCTCACGAGTGACATAAAACAAAGACAACAAAACATTATAAACAATAGCGTACAGCAAAACAACACCTCATGAAACAAAGAAAACCTTGTCAGGTTTTTACACCGAGGATGACCCCCATTTTTTCTTGGATAACTTTCATCAAGAAGTCACATGAAACACCCATAACACCAAGTCTTTCTGATAAAAGGTTTTCTCTTAATACCAATTTGTGTAATGATCAAAAGCTTGTGAATTTTTTTTCTCTATTGATCAACTGTTACATTATCGGTTCTCTTATAAAATAATCTCTTGTAGGCCTCTTCTATGTAACCTTTTGTTATGGTGAAGTGTCACTCAAAAAAGAAATCATGATGAGAAGTTTCATTAAAGAAAAAGTAGGCATGTTACACTTATTAAAGGTCTGCATCTGTTGAGTACAAGTTGATTACTAAATATATAGTACATACAGAAAAAATATGTAATTAAAAAACCATAAAAACCCACATAGGACTTGAGAGTTAAATAGGAGTGATAATGAAAACAAACCCAAATGGATGACAGCATCAGGTGAAAATGATGCTAAGGCCAGATAAAAAGCCTTGAATAAATACCAGTCTGTATCAGAACGTGTTATATGCCCTTGTATTCCTCCACGTTCTCCCTTGTATCCCTAACAGAAAAACAAGGATCTCAGGAAGATCTTTATTAAAAGTGCATTTCCATAAGTATCATAAAACCAAACCAAGAAAGTAAACCTTAAAGCCTATAAGAACAAAGGAAAATCAACTCGAAGTAAACACAAGCCATCTGCCTGTGAAAAATGCAAGTGACAATGTCATGATTGGTTTCAGCTTTCAGACTAAGTGTTATAGAAAACGGAGAGAGTATTTAAAGATGAAAAATAAACAATTTTCAAAAATCGAGTTTCCAGATGGGATTTGAACCCACGACCCTCCGTGATCTAGTCGGATGCTCTAACCACTGAGCTACAGGAGACTCTATGGTGAGCAAGGGTCAATTAGTGGGTATTGACTGGAACCGCATCACGCGGCTACACAGCCAAACATCAGCTAGTGCATAGAAGCTCACAAACAGCATCACACTGTCACATTAAAGCATCGCATGCATTAAAGCATCACATGCAGCCAACCAGCCTCCAAAGTGAGCATGTAAAGATGAAAAATAAAGAATTTTCAAAAATTGAGTTTCCAGATGGGATTTGAACCCATGACCCTCCGTGATCTAGTCAGTGGTCAGAGCATCCGACTAGATCACGGAGGGTCGTGGGTTCAAATCCCATCTGGAAACTCGATTTTTGGAGAGAGTATTGTCGAGTAATGTCAAGGGAGGAGGAGCCTAAAGTCACAAAAAGAAAACTACTCATGAAAAATAAAGGGTGCAGTTTAGTGAAAAAAAAACTAACTGATTCAGACTTCAGATAATAAAATGAATAGTAAAGTATGCTCAGCCTAGTTGCCTTTTACTCGTGGGACAGCAGGCCTACCGGGATTTGTGAGTCTGAGATGAGAAGTAAATTCAGTGAATCTCTGGATTTGTCAGGAATCCTCCAGGTTAGGAAAGCCCACAGAAAACATCCAAACTCTCCAACAAACACAACAGCCACTAGTAAAACCAATGAGACTGTGAGGCTAAAGATATACCAGTACCACAAACACTTCTTCAACATCAAAACTGAAATTAAAAAGGAAATAGTACATTTTAACTCCCATACTGGTACAGTCGAAACTCGATTTTTCGGACTCGTTGGAACTAGACGAAAAAGTCCGGTTAATCGAGGGTCCGGGTAATGGAGATTGGGAATATTAATGAGGATCAAACTGATTAAATTAAGAGAGCGACATTTAAACCTGAAACAAAACATTTACAAATAATTTTGAAAAAGATATGGTCAACATCTTCAATGTCCTACGTGAAGACACTTCTACACGTGTGTATTAACAATTAAAATCATATATAATTTATTATATACATACAACAATCACGATCTCCAAGCACGGTTTTCCCAAATTTTGATTGGGCCTCACCACCTTATTCATGTGTAACAGACTCAATGCAATGCACGTGCATGATAATCATGCACTTTGCGAGTAAACAAGATCATGCCAACGTAACCCCATTCGGACACCTATCTAGGCTACAAGAATCGAACAGACAGTACGCCCTAATTGTCACAATGTAAATATTTAAATATCGTAACGTAAAATCTTAATCTGCAAATGAGAATAGTCGGCAGAGATTTCAAATCCCGGTACTAGCATCTTTCCTTACGCCTCCTTCAAAAACTTCCAATAAAAAATAAACATAAATGCTTCAGAATATACCTACATCGATTATTCTAGAGTACGTAGAATCCAGTACAGCTTCCTTACTCCAGAGCAAGTTTTGCGGTATTTCTGGAACAATAGCCTTATCAGAGAACAAACGGGTATGAAGTATATAGACGGAACAAACAGATGAGTAGCTATTTTAAAATGAGGGACCGGATGCGAAATCATGTATTCGTCACCAACTGTACCATGTCAGGGCACTGGGTACCATCGGTCTTTGCATGCCGAAAGCCGAACCAGTATTGTCGTTTTCAACGAAAATGGCGGCAATAAACGTGCATAGCACTAGTTGCACTACAGATAATCTTAGTAGACACGACATGCTGAAATGGATCAACGAAAGCCTGCAGCTTAAGTACACCAAAATTGAACAGCTATGTTCGGGTGAGTAATCGAGAACATTTGCGGCAGTTTCGTCGACAGAACTTTCATGTCTTCACTCACGCCTTCGATCGAACGATGGGCTGATGTCCGAGGTTATGAGTCCTTTCGCGTCGTTTCGGTACCGTGTACTGTGTGGCTCTTACTAACTTGTGTTTTCATTATCAGGTGCTGCATAGTGCCAGTTCATGGATATGCTGTTCATGGGTGAGTGTGTCATGAAGATTACGTATGAAATTCGAGTCCTTAACAAACGCCTCTTTAAACTTTTTACATGTGAAGTTAATATCATGAAACATACATTACTCCCCTCAATGATGATCGATTTTTAACTTACATCAATCGGTATTTTATTTGAATGTATTTTAGATTGTGTTAATATGGCAAAAGTGAAGTTTGCATCAAATCAAGAACACGAATTCATAAATAACTGGAAGATATTGCAAAAGGCGTTTAAGAATGCAGGAGTTGAGAAGGTAAAGTTTATACTTCCCTTTTTCTTTTTTTTTTTTTTTTCATTATTCATTAAAGCATTACTTGAATCTGTTTCACATTTATTTTTGACACGTATTCTAGGCTGTAGAACATGTAAACAAGAATCACTGATGGATCTAAAAGTAAAACGAAAGTAGCTCTAAATTGTGCTGTTGGCGTGCGGTTGTCGATATTCATGTGATGACATCATCATACCTATTTATTTCATATGTTGTAGCTGTCTTGTTCGTTATAGAATCTATGGAAATTTCAAGAGAGTATTGAGGTTGCTCAAGATATGCAAACTAAACGTGGTGTACATGGCGTTTTCCAGACAGATCATTTTTCATACATGTCTTTGAAATGGTTTGAAAATGTTTGTGAATAGTGCTCTATTTTACTGAGTGTTGTACCTGTGAAACCAACCAATGGAAAGGGGGCCAATGAGAACTCTAAGTGAAAACAAGCAGACTTCAGTTCTCAAGACATTTAATTTTGATTTTGTATGTTGTTGGTTGAGACAGTAGAATGAGTTTCAAAGATCAGTCAATGAACAGAGAAAATCAAAATCCAAAGTTGTCCTAGATTACTGTAGAACTGAATTAATAAATGCTCACATTTGAGTGCTAGTCACATATTATCATTATTATTATTGTTATTGTATGATACAGATTTTTTAATTTACAATGCTATGGCAAACATAGGCTAGACATTTTTGAAATTTGTTTTTACAGTTTTTTAAGAGTGTCATTTCCCTTCTCATAATTATATTTCTTTAATGTAATTTACTTTTATAAGGATAATTTCGATGCACATTTTTTGAAATTCTTTCAATACGAACTAGTAGTTGCTTTGGCGATTTTTATATGTAGGTTGTTTTTGTTATCAGTTAGTTTGGGTCTGATATGAGTCTGATCCTAGAGAACCGAATTTAATGGGTGTATTCTGTGTCAACTAATTTGGAAATGTACGAGAGGAAGTTATTGTAATGTTTTAACTTTTGAAATAAAGTTATTATTAATAATAATTATTATTATTATTATTACAGTTACTACTATTACCTCTACTATCTTTTTATTTTTTTCCGTTTTATATTTTTCAACATCAGTATTTTAAGGACTTAAAACAAAGATTTTTTTTTTTTTATACGAGGTTGATAAGATCTCTTTTCGCAATGTAGTAAGAAGGTAGGATTAGGATTTTAATAAAGTAATTACTACTTGTTTTATTATAATTATTATAATCATTATTACTATCTTCTAGAAACAAACGAAAAAGACGCGACACAAATTTCAATCACCAAAGAAGTTTTGATACTGAAAAGTTAAAGGTTACATGCTTGATTGTAAATAATGCTGAAATTGCTTTTCAGTTTAAAACTTTGTGAACTGTGAAATCACAACATGGTTTTTCAGCAATTGAGGCACAATTCAAATTCTTAACCACTTTGACTATGGTTTTTTCTTTTTATTTCCTTTTTCAGACAATCCCAGTTGAAAAGTTAGTCAAAGGGAAATTTCAGGACAATTTTGAGTTTGTTCAGTGGTTCAAGAGGTTTTTTGATGCAAACTATATCGGGCCTGATCCTGAGTATGATCCTGTAGAAGCACGACATGGAAAAACAGACACTCCACAGATTGCCCAGCCGCGAAAAGGATCAGGACAGCTTAGCAGACCTGTGCAACCCCCAGGTGAGGAAAATCTTATTTTCATTTGGGTAGACCTACATGGTATGCAAGGTTATCAACTTTTATACGCCTTGCATCTTTTCCCACCAGATCATGGCAGCGTTAAGATTGTAACTACTGGTATGTGTATTTCTGTGTTACTCATTAGGACCAAATCTTATGGTGAAATCCCTGTTTGTTTGCTTTTTTCATTCTTAATCTCTTAACAGCCAAAAATCCAGTGCTCTCAAAAGGAACTTTCAGTAAACCTTCAGCAGGTGGTCCAGCCAGAAATGGTGGAGCCTCTAAAGGTGGTGCATCAGGACTTGGACGTCCAGCCGCACAAAGTTCGCGCGCTGCAGGAGGAGCAGCAGCACAGGGACCCCGCACTGGTGGAGCAGCTGGGGGGTCATCTGCTGCAATTGCACAAAAAGATGCTCAAATACAGGAACTTAATAACGAGGTTTGTTTGGGATGGGCTGGTCAGTGAATGAAAATCATGGATGAAAATTGTTGCCAGTAATTGAAACAAAGTTATTAATGAATATGGAAAGTTAAAGACCAATCAATAAATAATGAATTAGTTACTGTTTGGCAGTGGTTTAAAACTTAAGCTTGTCATCCAGCACTATATTTGGCAGATGCATGTTCCTGCTGGATATGTCTAACATGTTGTGTTCTTGTGCTTGGCCTGCAGCTCACTGCACTGCAACTGACAGTGGAAGGATTAGAAAAAGAAAGAGATTTCTACTTTGGCAAGTTAAGAGATATTGAAGTCAAATGCCAGGAAGAAGATACAGGTTCTACTGTTGTCCAGAAGGTCTTGGAAATTCTTTATGCAACTGAGGTGGGTGCAGCATTTTTGGAAATTAACAGGAAACATAATGGAACTTACAAACTTGATCTTAATCAAATGGAATCTACAAGGCCTATTTTAATTGATTTTCTGTAATTAGAAATTGTTCTCTTTCATACTTTGGAGTGTAGTTGTCATCTTAGCTCAACCTCGTTGGGAACGCATTGATGCATTAAGGTGGACCCACTCTCACATAGAACGGAACAAGTTCATGCAACTGCTGTTAGCCTGTTTCACACGTAGAGTTTGTAACACACATCATTGTAATGGGGGCAGTGCAGAAAGTTTTAGGCAGTGGAATTAAATTGGAAGGGAAGCTTATGATGGTAGATTTTACCCATCTCCTACTCCTTGTTTTTACTCTGCCACCAGTAAGAATGTGTTTATGAACTAAACACCTGGAAGTGGGCAAACTATTCTCTAGAAAGTTTTAATGGACAGCTTGCTTTATTGTAGACAATCACCACTTAAGTCAAAATATGTTTATCAATTTGATCCCTAAGAAGATTGAATCAGTCAAATCCTGGATGCCTATCTTTGAGAATTGTTCAAGGAACTAGTTGTAAAATGTGACTTGCATGATTTGATATATGGTGGGTTCCAATTACTGAGAGAACTTCCGACAAAAATGTTCATTGTTGTTATTTGTAGGAGGGTTTTGCTGCACCAGAGGAAGCTGGTAACAGTGAAGAATATGAATATAATGATGAACAAGATGAGTACTAGACATTAGAGTCATAAGAAGGATCAGTTGTTGTCAACAGACTTTTGCCATCAACCATTTTTTTAAAAAATTAAAAACTGTTTCTTGTGATAACATGCTAGAAGATAAAGGGAACTTCTTCTGTTATCTGAACTGAGAGTATTGATCTCAAGTTTGCATCATTTGTATTATAATAATTATCAGAGATTTTTCCTTGTAAACTGAAGGCCAGCTTAAATGTAGGTATGTTGAAATCCAGTTTCTGTGATAGAGATAATGAAGGTTTTCACTTCTTTTGGTGCATGAAAAGAACTTGTTGAATAAATGAAGCTGCTGCTTTGAGCTCTAAAATATTTTTTAAGTTTTAGTTCATGCCAAAGACATCAGGCAATTCCCAAGCTACCATTATTGACTTCTCTCTACTTAACCCTTTCACTCTTAGGTGAGACCAAAAATGAATTTCTCCTTACAATATTCTTACATTTCCAAGCAGAAAAAGTGACAAGAAATTAAAAAAAAAAAAAATAAACAAGGGGACAGTGTATGATTTAACAAGATCTCTGAACTAAACTCATCAGAATTGTCAGAGTGCAGAGGATGATATTAAGAACCTGGGAGTGAAAGGAATTAAGGAATTGAGGACAAAACAAAAATAAAAATGTTAGGCAAATAGGTCATGAAGATGTTGAAGTGGTTAGGAACTTTAACTAAAACAAACTTGGAATTAAAGAATGCGCTACAAATACTTCTCATTTTGTGTCTGGTTAAATTTAATCCTTCACAGTGATCTATGGATTCAACTTCCTTGCTTTGAAATGTCTTCTGCTGTAAACTTCAGCTGCTGAGTGTTAAATGGTCTGCTGTGAACGTTTCTTTGATTCTAGAATTCCCATGGTCTTTGTAGTCTCTCTCTTTTAAATCAGATTTACTTTGTTTGGGATCTTCAATACCATGCTTTGTGCCTTGGCTGGCAATTTGTTCCTCACTAAATGTTCACAACATCTGAAACTCTTGTTTGAGTCATGCAGTTATGTGAGGCTTATTAATAGATCTGCACCCAATACTAAAAAACAATGGGAACACCAACCACTGACAAATACAAGAGTTACGTTGAGCACTATCAACAACCTGAAGTACTGAAGGATAAAAATCCTTCCATTGTCAGAAAATGTATCAAAAATTAAGCTGCTTTTCACAATCTTGTGCACTTGTGGATGAGGAAGGGCTAATGCTCAAAATATCAGCTTTAGAGACTTCTTACAGTGCCCATTTTACATATTTATTAACTCAGTTAATAGAACCAAATTATCTGAAATACCCCTCAGCAACACAGTTCCGTAAGAAACTTACCACCCTTCTAAAAAATAAACCAGCTTGGCTGCAGCTTGTCAGTTTAATGGCGGGATCAGCCTACCTCTGTGTGACTTACCCTCCACAAGTCCGGTGTGTGATATAACCAGAGAAATTAGCAAACCATTTCAATGTCACAATTTGGATACATCAACAAAGTTGAAATGGTAATATATTTGTTGATACGTATATCCAAATTATTTTGTTACCTCCACTGACGCAGCCCCAAACAGTTTCTTTAGAAACTATCAGGCTTCATTCATTTCAATGTCAAGCACAATTCTTAGCTTAACAGTCCTTTGCATTCAAATGTTGTCACTATTACTGGTAGAGCACTGCACTAGTATTGCAGAGGTCAGTGGTTCGAATCCTGTACAGGCCTGAATTTTTTCAGATCTGACTTTCACTATTGCGTAAAAAGTGCTTTACTGCAAGGAACATGCACATATATACATTGCTGGTATTTGTGCCAAAGTTGACAGTTGTAAGCTGTGATTTGGAGGCAGGGGAGTTGTTCATACCCATATATCACTGCATTAAAGATCTTTTTTGTCTCTTGTATTACAGCATCAAAAAGTATCTGATCAACAGATTTAAACACAGAATTTAGGGGCTTGTCAACTTGCTACCTTGACTGAAAACCACAAGCATGTTACACCCATACTCATGGTCCTTCAATGGGTCCTTGTACTCCACAGGATTATTTTACAGATTTTGACACTGATTAAGTGGCTCTTGATGAACTGGCACCATGTTTCATCAGATATTTATTTTAATACTATTTCACAGATCTCCCAATAACGACTTGCTCAATGGGCCTGTTGCGAAGATTTAAAGTTAACATAAAACAGCATTCTTAGAAGCAGAACCAAGTCGATAAAAAAAGATTACAACTTACCACACATGTTGGGAAATCATTTAGGAGAGCTGTATTTTGAAATATTTCAAAGATGCAATATATTTGCAGTTTTACTATTTTTAATATTTTTGTAATTTAATTTTTCCATTCTACCCTGTAAGCAACACAAACAACTAGGCAAGTGTGGCACTCCACACTGTTTATCTTGGTATATCTTTATTCCCTCTCCATATCAAGTGAAAACTTGTTCAAAAAATATATTAACTATTGAAAATAACTACTCCATTGGTTTGTACTCATGAAGCCCCACTAAGAACTACAAATAGTGTCTATGGATGTCATTATATCTGTACTGTAAATAATAGTTTTGAGATTCTAGATAATATCTTCTTCATTTCTATAGAAATTTTCATCTTGAGTTCATTTCTTGGAAATTAAAGTAGTAAATCACCTCTAATTTTTCATAATACCAAGTTTTAAGTTTCTGGCAGTATTGTACCTGGTCATCAAACAAGTCCCTCTAAGAGGTTCCCTGGTGAAAATGGGCTAAACACACCTCTCTTAATTCACCTGTCTAAGATATTCCACACTTAAAAGAACTAGACTATTTGCATCTATCTATTGATACAATATCAGTTAACACAGCTACAACTTATTCTTTTTGAGTTTTGAATCCATCTGGGTTCTGTGATTGCCATCTCCATGAATCTTCACCTAAGAAGAGAATTTTATTGATAAGTACCAAAAGTATTCCACTCAAAATATACAACAATTTGAATTCAATAAATATTTCACACTCCATCAGGACTTGTTGTAGTCAAAACACCCATGGGGGAGTGTCCCCTGAACACAAGTACTGGTACTCACAAATTACATACAGATGTAATTATTGCTAGGTATTATTCAGACAAATTAATCCCAAGTTTTTGAGAGCTTGTCAACCTAGACAGGGGTTTCAATAAAAGGTGGTTAATGGTGGTCTTCCATTACTTGTAAGACCTCTGACCACCCTCTGTTTAGCCTGTAAGCGGGTTTTCATGTTTGGGTTTTGCATTACAACACAGCCAGTTATTACCTCATAGGCAGGGACTTATGGAATCCACACCTAGATTTCCCAAATAAGAACCACTGCAAATCCTGTGATTCATCTCAAAGCACAACCTTGTATAACATGTAGAATTATTTTTATATTTGTAAACAGGATAATCCATGGAGTCATGTTTTTTTTTTTTTTTTGAGAATCCTGATTGCATGGCTAACCCCAGCAAAACATGGGTTTGTGCAGTTACCTCTAGCCCTTTGCCATTGAAGAAAACAAAAAGCTTGTTAACAATGATCACTACTTACACATTTCATCTAATCCCCGCCATGCTGTCCAGCCTAGCTCTTTCTTTGCTAATGAAGCATCAGAATACACAGCACCTACATCTCCTTCACGACGTGGAGCAATTTTGCATGGAACCTACACAATTGGTGAAAGTAATTTTTTTCCAGCTCGATCAATACCTGACTGTTACCTTTCCATGTGCAGTATATCAAGGCAGTATTTTCTGTAGCAGATCTGGTAGTCCAAAGAGAAGACCACAGATCTAACTTACTGGGGTCATGAGGAAGACGATCTTTCAAAAAGGGAAGCTTATTAGAGTGAGGGGGGTGCTCTATAAAAACTCGATGATGCACAGTATGCAGTTCATAATTTTAATTCTACATAGATGTTGTAGTTCAATTTTATCCTTGGTTCAAATTTTATTTTCCTTTGTTCTTGGTCATGTTAATGTATGATAATGAGTTTGAAACAAAGGAAAATAAAATTTGAACCAAGGATAAAATTGAAGTACAACATAGATACCAAAATTCAATGAATTATGAAAACATTATACATTTCTTTGGGTGAAAAACTATACAATAATAGATGCTTATAAATACAAGGATTTTGTTTTTAACTGAAATTCTGCAAAGCCCAAATGTATAATAAAATAACCCTTCTACTACCATGTTTTAGGTTAGGCAGGAGGATAGAGAGGTGTTGAGTTGGGGGGAGAGAGAAAGCTATCAGAGAGGGGCTAGTCACAAACATTAGAGCATATATGGTATATTTTGATAAATATATAAAAAAAATAGTCAAGACCATATCTTCATACCCAGGAAAAGCTAAGCGACTAAACACTAACACCTTCAGACCACAGGAAACAAAAATTAGCCTTTCCTTTTTATTCAAAAATTGATTGTAAGTATCCACACCATTTTAGAGTAAGATTAGTGACAGAGAAATTATAGAAAAAACCCCACAGAAATTTGATAAAAGGACAAACATTAATAAACAACAGTTGACACTTACTGGTTTTCCTGAGGCTTTTTCAACAGCTTTCACCATTTCAAGAACAGAGTATCCTCTTCCTGTGCCAAGGTTGTAGATCTAGAAAAAAAAAAAAAAACTTTTATCAGACTGGAACCCTTGGTTTGTTTTCTTAAGAAATATTCAGAACTTGTTTCTTTTGAGTATGCTACAAGGCTCTAACTTTACCTTGCATCCACAACTGTTTTCAAATTGCTTAAGAGCACTAACATGTCCGACAGCTAAGTCAACCACATGGATATAATCCCGCACACCTATAAGAAAAGAGAAGAGAACTTTGGGGTTAGGAAAAAATCGCAGAGGCATAGATCCCCACAATCAAGAAACACAACAACATCAAAGATTTAGTAATACATACACAGGTTAAAACAAGCGATATAATATCCCAATGTTTAGGCGACTTCATGTCCCCATTATCAAGGGTACAAATAAAAATAAAATTAACAAATGCGAGATCAAGAGTTACAACTAATTTACATAGGGGAGGTAGCCACACAAAGCAAGCAGATTCTATCGATGCTAAAGTATTTGTGTAGCTACCTCCCCTATGTAAATTAGTTGTAACTCTTGAACTCACATTTGTTAATTTTATTCTCATTTGTACCGTTGATAATGGCGCCATGAAGTCGCTCAAATGTTGGGATATTATATCGCTTGTTTTTACCTGTCTATGTACAACAACATCAGAGCTATAAAACAACAAACCATTGAGACAACATTTCCTTAAACATTAATCAAATACTCCACTCAAATTTGAATTGGATTTGACAGAGCTCCAACATGTAAAAAGTGCAGGTTGACTTTGAAGAAAAAAAAGGCTACAAGCCCTGCCTGCCTTCACTTCCCCTTGACATCCACCACTATGATAAATACACTACCTGTTCCATCAATGGTGTCATAATCATCACCAAACACATTTAGATGAGATCTTCTTCCCACAGCAACTTGAAGTATATATGGCATGAGATTATTAGGAATACCCTGAAATATATACATAAACCCGTCAAAGTTTGATAAATGAAAAAAAGTCTTTGTCTTGCCTTTGCATACTTTTCTTTTTTAATGATTTTCCTCAGAAACTGCATGCAACTTAAAATGTGCTTGAGTGAACAGTGCTCTGAGTATTACTTATAGTAAACATTGTATTTTTCTCCTAGAGTTTGTTGTAGATTGCATTATACAAATACATAATCATGGTATTTGTTGACAAGAAAATCCACAAATACTGCCTAATAACTCTGCTTTGTTCATAAATTGCCCCAGGTAGCCAAAAGGATCCCATATGGATAGGATGCTTCTTTACCACACACGAAGCACCCTGTCTGTCTGATTTGAGTATCTACTGAGAATCTGTCTGATTTGAGAATCTACTATTTTAGTCTTGCCCTCTGATTGGTTAACCCTTTGACCCCAAAGAGTGTGTAATACTCAATTTCTCTTTACAGTTATACTGTGTAACAATTTGTTCACATAACGAGAATAAAGGAAATGATCACTGACTAAAGAAGGTCTTGACTGTTAAGCAAATTATCTGTGTCAGCATCTTAAGAAATGTGTACTGGACAGTATGGAGAATATCCACACTGATATTAGGGTGGTAAAACAACCCAGCATGACTAAATAATCAACTTCTTCAATTAAACAATTTATAACCTTAACTATATGAAAACCTGCCATACTTAAATGTTCAGGAAAACAATTCCAATACATGCACTTCACCATTTTATCCTTATGTCAGGTAACCAGATATTACTGACTAACCTGAGGATCTTCACCAATTTTTCCTGACTTGTGAGCTCCAACAGGATTAAAGTACCTCAACAGTACAGCATTCATTTTCTAAGGAAACACGAAAAAATATTTCCCCTGTTGCCCAAAACATAATTCTAACTTATAAATTTTGTGTTGTCTTTGAGTGTCATATTTTTATACTGTAAACCAAAGCACCTTAGAAATCACAATGGATCAATCAGTGTCTTATATTACAGCTAATGGTGGCAATAATATTAATACCTTTTCAGCTTTGCATAGATCTTTAATAATTTCTTCTATAAAGAACTTGGATCGTCCATAAGGATTTGTTATTCCATCACCTACTGAGTGTTCTTCATTGATAGGGAGATAATTTGGAACACCATAAACTGTAGCAGAGGAAGAGAATACAAAATTCCAAACCCCATGTTCCTTCATACACTGTAAAATAAAAAAGTATAAAACCTATGATACGGGGAGTTTAACCACAATATATCAATAACTACTAGGGAACTTGACCCAGGCATTAATTAGAAAAATTGTGTCTAATGGTAAATGGTGTCAAGAACAAATTAATTGTAAACTTTAATTGGTAATAATAGCACAAACCTCCAGCAGATTTATAGAGCCCATGATGTTATTGTGATAATATCTCAGAGGAATTTGCACTGATTCGCCAACTGCCTTTAGAGCTGCCAGGTGAACCACAGCATAGAAATCATGCTAAAAACAAAATTCTGATGTGAGAAAGTTTTGTTCAATACAGGCCTGTCATTTCGAAAATTGTCCAAATTTTATTACCCTATTTGTGTTATCCACATACATTTCATAATTTAAACATAACACATGATATTCCAATCACAAGTATTGGTATATTTCAAGCATTAGAAAATATGTTCTAAAATCTGTTTAGCAGTTTTATTGTTGGTCTTTGAATCTGAAGTAATTCATTCACCAATGCATAGCATTATGAGGTAACAGTGCTTAAGGATTAAACTAAACAAAAGAGAGTCATAGCATAAGGAGAATTATTATATGGCTGTGTCTCACAAGGACTGGGAACTACTGAGTTCACGAATTTGATTGGCTCAAATCAATATTGAAAGCGGTCTAGATTTTCCCATCCAGACCGGCATCTAGACTGGTCTAGAAAAAAAAGTTGCAAAGAATGTAATGTTCCTTTGCTTTCGAGACACAGCCATATAATAAACATCTTATTAACTGAGCTAGGTTGGTCTGTATGGGAGAATCTTGACCTTAGTCGCTGGTACAGACCTCACTGTGTTCGGTCTGTACTGGTGACCTCGATCAAGATTCTCCCATACAGACCTCCTGCTCGGTTAATAAGAACTAAATAATACTTCAGGTTGTGAAATTACTCTGACTACCAGCTGTATAAAGTTTTATCAATTAATATCCTTTATATATCCTTCCTTATTGCACAGTATGTAATCATTAGGATCAAAATTGAATTTCAATTTGGGTTGAATTTTTTTTTTTTTTTTCCAAATCAAAAGAATTTATCTGAAGAACAGAAAAAACACTTTGAACAGGATTTATTTTAGACAACAACATGTAAGCCTGTTTCCTGCTATAAGTCAGAAAAGCATGACACCTTACTTTGCTGAATACATCTTTTATAGCATCTTTGTTGAGTAAATCAACAGAGAAACATTTCAGCTCCTTTCCTGTTATTTCCTGCACTCTTTTTATGCTCTCTATCCAAAAAAGGAAAAGGAGGTTTTTAAATTTTGAGTACCCTTACAGTGAGTGGAAAGGGCATAACTTTGGCATTTATTTACTATACATTTCCAAATTTCTCGATGAAATCTTGGTGCTCAGTGCAGTCTTGTGCATACCAATTAATTGTATGCACAATCTTGCCATGGGCAACAAGTCTACCTCAATACCAAATAATGTCAAGAATTGCTTAGCACTTCTAGTCAAAAAATATAATACCCCCATTGGCTTTGCATGAAATTTTTAAAGTAGATTTTGTCTATCCTTCTGATTACCAGGCTACGCCAAAACGTTTTCAATGACTAGAGCATAGCAATTTAAAGGTATGCTCAAATTTGGATATTTTGACAACTACCAGGAAAATCAATATACTTTAAGAATGCTTTAATATTTCTAATCAAACATTTGATACCCTTTGGATATTAAGATGAGGCATTCACTGGAAATTATGTGAAATTTAGTTAGTTTCTGGCATGTCTTTGTTTGTTTCATCTAAGATTGTCTCTCGAGGGTAGGGAACTAAGTCACAATGCACGAGAATCATACTCGTCTCTTTCTTAGATACAGCGCAACTTTAATATCAGTTGACTGTACAAAGGCTCATAAAAACCGGCATTACACTTAAACTTCTCAGTGTTACTATAAACCAACAAACCCTCCAAATCATTACTAAATTACTATCACCATGGAGAAAGACTTACTCACCACTGAAAGCATTTACAAAGTTGTCGATGATGACAACATCGTATCCAGCGTTAACAAGCTCTACAACTGTGTGTGTACCGACATAACCCGCTCCACCAGTTACAAGAATACATCTTCCAATCATATTTCTATTGCTTTAAAACCTTAGTGCCTACAGAGTGAAAATCACAACTCAATAAAAATTGCTTCAGAAGCAGTAATTATTTTGTTTTCCTATCATTATATGATACATGTGATCATCATATGACTGTCTCAACTTACTCATGTAAAACTCCCTTGACTAATGCGCGCACATCAGCTGACAACAATAAACTAGCAAGTCATATGCGATGTGTTCTGGCACTTTCCTGCTAAAAGCCGGTATGCTAATTATAAACCAAAAGTTATCGAATTCAACGTGGCACTAGTAGTGACAAACCGCCAGATTATTTAATCAGATAATAGGTGTTCAGAAGCGCAGATTGACTCGATTACTCGTCATGATTCCTTTAAGATGAACAATTGTAACACATTCTTAACACTATATACACCTTCAAAAGGCAAAAAAACGTTTTCAAAAGACTTACCAGGTCTTGGATTTATGTAATAAAGCTTGGCGAAGCGTTCTCAGGGAAACGGATGGCCTTGCAACCAGGCCTTTCAAGTAGATACTTGCAGTCAGCTGGATAAATATTTTTATTACCGGAAGGGAGATGAGACTACTTGCAAAATTTCGAAATTGAGTGATGAAGGGTAATAAATAGTCCTCAACAATTAGCTTTGAGAGATTAACTATGTAGCTGGGATTTATTCTTATGACCTTTCTGACCGATCCATTCTTTTCAGACAAACTTGGAAATGTTGAAAATTATTAAATCTGGGGAAAAAAAGGAAATTACAAGAAACACACACAAGGCTTTTCTCTAGACCCTGTATCGCTAACAAAGATGATGGGCATGATGTCTTCCTTACAAAGAACAAAGAGGGGAGAGGTCTGATCTAAATTTGGAATTTGAGAGTAAAAACTGGATAAGTTTACTGAACTTTCTAATCCAGCAGAGGTTCTGATCACATGAGGATGGACATAACTTGCGTAGAATGCAGTAATCATACATCCAAATATATTTTAACCACCTTCCTCGGGATAAAATCAGAAAAAAGAAAGGAGAAAGAAAAGGACACAGCATCATCTCTAATAACTCATTCAAAAAGTCTTGATATCTTTCTGAAGTGATCTATTTAATGTTGACATACAACTCAATAATTACATGCAATGCACTTTAAATACCTCGTCTACTGAAACATCTCCCAAAATAACTAAACTGAAGACGATGAATTGGCAAAGTCTTGTTTCATGTGGAAGTGAAAACTAGTAGAAAATTACTTTCTTTTGTACATCAGTGCAGTTACTAATTTATGCTTCCCTTCCAATCTGCAATATTTCCTGAGCCCTGATAACAGTTTACAGTTTTGTGATGATCCACACTTAAATGAACTAACTTGCTTCCACTGTCCAATACCAAATAAATTAGAAACCAAATCCATGTCAACATGACAACATGAATCTTTTTAACTTTCAGTCACCCCTTCAGATTAATTGTAACAGTCACAAGTCATCACTCTTTTAACACTAAAACCCAATTTTGTGAATAATCAAGAGTCCAACTGGTCTCCAATCTTTTAGCCAGAGTCCACACTACAGCTTGTAACCAAGCAAGGGTAACAAATAAAAGATGAAAATCCTTGGATTTGAGTTCTAGGATATGTGGTGTTGATCCTTCAACTGACTGTCTGAAATCAATTCTCTCTTTGTGTTGTCAAACCTTGCATTTAACTTCGAGTTAGGAGAATTTGCAATAACATAGAAAAAATATTATATATTTTGGCCGATAAACCTATCTATTCTCATCACTTCTGGATGAGTTATATTCTGACATTGTAAAGAGAAGTTATAAATTGACCAGTTAGACTGGATACCACATTAAAGGGCTGAAGACTCTGGCCTTAGGATTGCAGGTAACTTAGTTGGGCAGAAAAAGTCAAGTGCGGATTCAAAATAATAATAATAAAAAAAAAAAACAAGCACACAAACAAAAAATAAAAAAAAAATAAAAAAAGACACAAATATAGTGAACTGTACTGATAATGCCAAAATGATAATTTTGACAAAACCTTCAAAATGAATCACTAAAATTGTTGATGCATTTTTTATATACAAAGCTAAGTTTCAATAAATAAATTAGCATTGCTAAAAGTTACCAATGAGAATATGTAACAAATTCTGATGTGACAATTTCATATCATAAAAATTGATCAACTAAATATTTTTTCAAGACCCCAGTGACTGTGTCTCCATTGACTTATTCTGTAGTGAAAGTATCAATTGGAGAAAACGGATTACACTTTTGAGCCGTTCAAGTATTGAAGTCATCCCTAAAATGATAAGTTTTTGTTTATCCTGAAGTGGTAGTGCTGCAAGTACCCACCACATCCAGTCTGGTCCATTGTCGCACACCTGATTATCCTCTCTTAAGGCTGGGATGGGTCCTATGGCATTCATAATGCACTGTTGCTGTGTGGATGCCATTTGACTGAACCATGTCTGTGATGTCTGGTGGCCAAATCTATTCAATTCATGGAGCTGTCTGATCTCATCTGCATCCTCAACTTCTTCATCCTTTAGCCATTCAACAGTTGCAGTATCATAACCATCTAACATACCCCTTGACACAACATGGAAACGCTCTCCCCCAACTGTATCCACAATTGAACGACCATCAGGAAGAAAATTCACTGACTTGATAATTAACATGGTACCATGGTCTGCAAAATTCTTATTTGGCTCATCACTTGGAATGCACATGCCAAATTGCTTTGAGCCTGAAGTGACACAACGCCGTAACATCAGACGATATCGTGGCTCAAATATGTGTAAAGGACATGGAACTTTCGGGACAGCTAATGTGCAGACAAAAACAGGGACTTGTACATTGCCATCTTTTCCCACACTAAAGAGGAGAGAACAGAAATGCACAAGGTACAGTCTCAAAATAAGTAAAGTAATAAGTGGTTGGTCCAACAATTCTATCACGAACTAAATTCCAATAAGGGTGGCACACTAATGAGTGAGCTTTTAGGTGGATAACAAAATTTCAAGACTGAAAGTAGCCTAATCCCGCATGTGGAAGCTTTTGTAAGTAAGTAAAGGGTTTATTAACAGTGTTTCCATAGAGTGGCTCTTCATCTGTCACTAACTAAATACATTATAGGATCAACTTAAACCTATTTAATATTTACAATCATACATTTAAAATGTTTAGTTCCAGAAAATATCCATACCCCCCCCCAAACGGAAGGTCATGGGAAATTCCGAGGGGGAGGGGGTTCCAAAGGCAGTAATTTCCGAGGGGTTGGGGGGGTTTCATGGGAAGCTATTCTTCCAAACGGTGACCCAATTGATCTGAAGTACATACGTTGTTTTGAAACAAAAATGATTGCTCCTGACCATTGCGATGAGGTTAACATCAAAAGATTTACTTTTTCTGTTTCCTCTTTAAATTAACTAGCGCCTCAACCTCCAGAAGAACGAGTCTGGATGGTGTGTATAATTTTCAAACTCAAAATAGCAGACAAAGAGGACTCGTCACCAGACTCCCAGTTTCGTCTGACATGTTATTGTGTTTTTTACTTCCATTCACTGAGTGTCGGCTTCAATTAGATACTAAAATGCATTCACCAATGCCAATTGGTTATGAACTATATTCTCGTTGGGAAGATGTTTTAACCAGACGAACTAATTATGGTTGACGACATCAGAAAACAAAGACATCACGTGGAAATGAAGTTATGTTACAAGGCAATTTTGCCATGTTTGTTTAGTTGCATAAAGGCTGTTGAAGAACTTGTCATAAATTAAGTTGTTACAATCCTTTTTCAGGTTTAAAAGGATGATAGAACATGCATTTTATTCTTCAGCTTTTTGGTTATGTTCGTGGCGGCTTCTCATTTCCATTTCAAATGATTTACACTTTAGGCTTCATTTGCCGTTCTATAGACTGGATGCCCATGGTAGGTAATGTAAGTAAAACACCCAGGATTTCTTACATTATCTATTTAAAAGATAATAAAATTTGTACTCTAGAAAAAAGAACCTAATTAAATGAATCTTTGTAAGATGTTGACTTAACAAAAAGGAATAATTCTTTTTTGACCGCTTAATTGTTGCAGGTGGGACATTGGGAAATTGTAATCAAGTTTTAACCACATTCAATGTGACCAAAATAACACTTTCATATAATAAAAGGCCAGAACCTTTCAATTTTGCTAGTAATAAATTTATCAGAGAATCTGTTCCAATATCTAGGATATATTGTTTCAGAATTTACTGTTATCTTGATGAAATAAGTTCTTGTCATTCTATGCAAAGATCATGTCTCGTGCTGCTATTTAACGCTATCCACGACTTTGTTTCATTTAGGTTCAAGCAAGTTAATCATCATTCTCTTAAAAAAGTGATTTGTAATAATATTTCCAGAGGGGTGGGGGGTCCTTGACTACCCGTCTGGAATGGAAATTCCTAGGGGGAGGGGGGTCCTAAACAGAAAACCCTCTGTGGGGGGTATGGATATTTTCTGGAATTACACAATAGCAAAACATTCTAATCTGTATACACTTAAAAATTAAACTTATTTAAAATTACTGCTTTTTTGAGAGACTATCAAAGTGCTGAACAAAGTTAAATTGAGAAAGTGGCATTTCTAAAGCAAAAGTTCCCCACTGGAAGTTCAAATTTGACTTTTACTGGGGGTTAAGTCTTCAATGTCAGAATTTTGATTGACCAGGGAGAAAAGGCCATAACAATAAAAATCAAGTTTAAATCTGGTAAATTTACTTTGCTGAGAGAGAAAACTTGTGACTTGTTATTGTAAATGACCTAATTTAAAGCAGATTCAAGTCGACAACCAAACAACAAAGAGGAAGAAATAAAATTAAGACCAATACAGAAGGGAACAAGGTATCAAAATACTACCCAGCAGCCGTTAAGTGAATTTACACCTTGCAGGCCTATGTTAAAGATGAATAAAGGCTGATAGTTTCTAAAGAAACTGTTTGGCGCTGCGTCGGTGGGGGTAACGAAATAATTTGACTATATCAACAAAGTTGAAATGGTAAATTAGCCACCTTTATGGTTATAAAAGCTGACATTTCGAGCGTTAGCCCTTCGTCGTAGCAAATAGAGGAATTGTGGGTTGTGTGTGCTTTTAAAGGCAGAAAATGGAGCTACGTGATTGGTGGGTTCCCACTTTACTCCGACGAAGGGCTAACGCTCGAAACGTCAGCTTCTATAACCGTAACGGTGGCCAATTTACCGTTTCAACTTTGTTGATATATTCAAATTACTATGTTTAAGATGGCTACCCCACATTCTGAAGTCAAGAAAACATTAGTAGCGTCATCACACAAGTTTGTTAGGCTGGAATGTTCAAAAGTAGCATTCTGAAAACTGAATGACTGTGCAAAATAGGATTCGTCGATTTCAACTATTTAACTTCCGGATTTTTTCTTTCTTCCACGTAAGACACGTGAATTTAGGCTAATTACATAACAATCCTTTCATTATATAAACTTTTTATTTTATTTAATGAACTCTTAACCAAAACTGCCTACCATGAAATTTCCTACAGAATTGGATGATAATATTTCTCTCTAAATTAGAATTGCTTTCCCTATCAATCCTTGTATTAGAAACACGATTTTAGAGATCGAAAGTAAAAGTTTAACTCCAGGAAGATTCGCTGACGCAACTGACTGTTACGTAATCGCAATCACAATCTTAACTAAGATAGTTGTTCGTTTTGAAAATGTTACTCACCTCGCCAGTTTCTCAGTGCTTTCTAAATATTTTCTCTTCCTTTCGTTATAATCCACCGCGAAATAGTTGACCAAAATCAACTCCAGTACTTCAGTGACTTCCATGTTTGGGACACCTCGGTGATACTGATCCAGAGCCGTACGGCAACATGGACATTCAACGCGGTGGTCTAAGCATCGTTCCAGACATTCTCGACAAAAAGTGTGTCCACATATTGTAGTGATAGGCTGAAATAACAAATTAAAGCAAAGTTTGCATTCAAAATCTTCTAAGTCTTTCAGTTTATCCTCGTTAGTTACTCCAGCTGTATAGTTTTCGCCCTTAGATTTTTTGTTGTATTGTCTGACGTTATTACGAGGAGCTTCCTCGCTGTTTGAAAAGGACCGAGATCTTCGCCTTCTTCTTTTGGACATACTTCCAGACCGACTGCTCGAACACTGTGAAAATGCGATTTCGTCGTAGTCACTTTTAACTTCTCCACTTGCTGATCTTTCATAAGCAGGTGCATGGAAGTGCTTCCCTGGGCTTTCATTAAGCGTTTTTTCCTGATGTGTTGCGGCATGTTTTGTCCCCGCAGATCTAAGTACCAACAAAGTTCTGTTCGAGTTTGTGAATTTTGGGCTCAACAATTGATGCAAGCTTTCTGTGAACTCCCGACGGTATCGCTCGCATCTAGGCGCAAGGGCAGAGGTGCGCAACAAAGCCAACACGCTCTCTTCGTGCTTAGATGAAAGAACTCCTTCGAGTTTCGCATAGTTCGCCAGTACCGCAGCTTTCCTGTAGAAAGTTCTTGCTGAAGTAGGACGAAGTTTACAAGCTTGTTCGATATCTTGAAGCGCCAAATCAAATTGTCCAGTTTGGAGAAGTGCATCAGAACGCCAGCACAAGCAGTGGAAATCGTTGGCAGATACCGACAGGATCTTAGTAAAACAATCAACAGCTAATTTTGCGTCGTTCTCAGAGAGATGTGTATATCCGACAAGTTTATCCACTTGATTCTGATACTCGGAGGGAAACCATTTCTGAACAGAGTTTGTGATCAGTAAATTCACTGAATGTACCATATTTTCAGACACTAACTTTCCACACTTTGTACACTCCAATTGAACACTGAAAGAACGCTCTTCAATCAGACAACTTTGACAGAATGTATGACCGCAGGAGAGGGTAACTGGCTTCAGAAAGAGGCATTGACAAAGAGGGCAAATGAAAATATTTTGGCTGCTGTTTACCACTGGGGAGCATTTTTCTTCCTTCTTTTCCTTACATAGTTTGTTTCTTTGAAACTCCAACAATGCAGTCACCAATGATTCAATACGTTCCTTTGGTACAACTCCAACACGGAAGGCATTTGAATAAGCACTAAATGACCGATCGAGTCTTCCGTTTCGAGCTAACAATTCGCCCTGTTCCAAGAGAGAATCGAAAGTATTCTTATTTGCACAACTTTTCTGTTCGGTAGACAAGTTCTCCATGAACGTTTCACCACTTGGTAAACAGAAAGACGGAGGCAGTTCACGAACTACGCACAACTGTAACGTAATGTACTAGAGAATCTGTGACCACAGTCCACGCTAAGGATTCTGTGCATGAGCTGATTGCTATCATCACCGCTCAATCCACACGACAATAACTCACCCTACGTACCACTCACGTGTAATGACGCGCTGCACGCCACCTCACGTTTCCGGTTAACGTGAGCGGGCCATTGAGATTGTTTCGTTAAAGGCTTCTTCGCGAAGAAAGATTCTAACATTTTGCTTCTGTCTTTAATACTTGATCAACCCACACTCTTCCCCAAAATATAATTCTGCGCCATGACAAATTTCGTTTTTTTACCTTCTTATGTAACATTGTTAACTTATGCATATTGTATAACCCTCGGCAGAGCCTCGTTCCCAAGGGTGTAAAGGTCCTTTTGCCGGGGTTGGGAGGGGGAGGTTCGATGGTTTTACAGCGTAACAGGCCTCGTGCTTAAATAAGAGTGGTAAGAGCAAGACCTCGCCAATGGTATTTTCTGAGAATTATATTCTCACAGTTTAAGGAGAGTGAACATGAAAATTCCGCGATGTATGATGTCTGTAAAACGACTTGTTCACGATATACAATATAATTTAAAGATTTTATTACTTTAAGAAAAAGGATTCTATACATACACAGCACAGATACCGCTGAGTATAAACAAAAAAATTAAAACAGGTGGAACTATACAAAGGCTCAAGAACTGGTACTTGTGTGTCGTAAGAAATGGTGAACGTGATCAGGGAGGGGAGGTAAGGGGGGATGGTTATACGGACTGGGGGATGAAAGGGATTAGGAGCAAAGGGTCCAAGAGAGAAAGAAGACCTTCATCGGTTCTTCAGTGTTCCATCTTGGTCTCTTCCGCTTTTGAAGCGTCTGTGCTTTCTTCAGTTGGTGGAGCCTTTTCTTTCTCCTCTTCTTCTACCGGCTGGGGTGAATTGCTTTTTGCTGTACAAAAACAAGGCCAAAAATTGGAAGAGTCAGCTGCAGTGGGCCAATATGTGTAAATCATGTTTGTTTTGATTCTTGGCTTTCTAACCGGAAGCATATAAAATGAAAACATACACGTGATTACAATTAGCAGCCGTCATAAGCATGTACTATCGTGACTCGTCAATCTTATTGCTAAACTAGTGATTGGAACTAAGTCACGTTTCTTCCAGAGGTCACGCAAACAGTAGTCACGTTTTTTAGCGAATTATTAGCAAAAAGCATCGCAAGAAGGAATAACAAGTTGCATGCGACTCTCCTTGGCTCATTTTCTCACTGTTCCATAACGGTATCGACTCCATCGAGAAACCACGCCAGCTGCTTCGCTCTGATGAAGGGCTACCGCTCGAAACATCATCTTTAGAAACTCCTAACGGTGGCCAATTTACAGTATCAACTCAGTTGATAAAAAAAAAAAATAAAAAAAAAATAAAAAAAATTGCCTTATAATACCCCCCAAGGACGTTATGGACACTTACCCCCTCTGTCTATTAAAATCCTCATTATGGTAACGCAGATACAAAACCAACACGAAATTTCACCGTATTATGAAAACCCATAAAAACCAAGAACCTCCGAAGAGTGTTTGTTAAACGTTGTTGCACAATATTACATACCATTACATTGAATTCCACCGAGCGTGAAAACAGGGCCTTAACTACATGTACAGTGGGGTAAATAATGTCATGGTTTTGATGAAACAGATAACCATGTAATTAACGTAACAAAAAGCAAACCTGTAATGGTCGCACCACTGTTTTCTGCATTGGACGAGGTATCCCTACACAAAACCAGGTACGGTACATCAATTCAAGTCTGATAAACTTTTGAAAATTTCAGAAATTGTGAACTCTAAATTATGTAAACCAAATTGTACCCAAAAATATGAATAAAAACAACAAACAAACAAAGAGGACAAAGAAGAAAGAAGAATGAAAAAGATGCTGTGCAATTTTTAAAAGGGTGCATGTCGTATCAAGGTTATCAATTTGTTTAAGTTGCATAGGTTATCAATAGTGAAAGTAAATAAGAAGAGAGAAAAAAAATTGATTCACGTCACCAACTAAACGGATGGCAAAATATAAAACAATAGAGAATACTAGGCATAGCAAATAGCAATTCCCAACGTAGCCTCAGCAGATGTAAACAATCAAATCCAGCTGTAAACAAGTTGTTACACAGCTTGTTAAACGCGATTCACTGCTGGTTAAATGAATAACAAACCTACACTATCAGGACTGCATCTAAATTTGGAAAGAGTACCATATAACCCCATACATTAACTATGCATTCCACTTCTTTGTCTTTCACAACAAAATTTTAAAAACAAAGGCTACTAGTCTGAATGCATAATTAATGTATGGGGTTATATGGTACTCTTGCCTCTAAATTCTCCCAAAGATAATCAAAAACGGCATTCAAGATATGTACATATAAGAAGAATTTCTATGGTGATCAAAACATACCCATCAGTATTTGGTGGGTTGTCAGACTCGTGTACTTCCATAGCTTCTTCTGTATCCTCTTTTCCAGCAGAAGCACTTTCAGCAGCTTCAGGACTGCATATCACCACAAGAAAAAAATTCAGAAAGTGATTGTAGATTAAGTCTGTCTGATTTTATTTTTTGCTAACATCTTGCACAAAGAGTGACGTTCATAGTTTGCCTCATCCTCGGAGACCCAGGGGATGAGTCGATTTCAAGTTAGGGCATGAAGAGCCCCTATGGGGACGTTGTCTTGCAAGACTAGTTCCAAACGGTCGCAGTCGTTCTGCAATCTGATTGGTGCCAGAAAATCTTTGTGTTTTTTCTGCCCAATCCAGGGTTGTCATTAGAAGCCGGTAGGCGGCGGAAATCCGCCGGCTGTCAGACCATTTTGCGCCGGCTACTTTGTGAAGCAGAATTTTTGTAATAATTTGGATATATCCACAAAGTTGTAATGGTAAATTGGCCACCGTAACGATTACAAAAGCTGACGTTTCGAGCTTTAGCCCTNTCTTCATGCCCTAACTTGAAATCGACCCACAGCCCCTGGGTCTCCGAGGATGAGTTTGCCTTATCCCATTGACTTTAAAGATCTTGAGAGTAATTCTCTGTTTTACCTGCACCTAAGTTAAGGGTATCACTGCTTGATTAAGAGGTAAAAGAAGGAAAAAAGTGCACCTCTTTCTGCTGGCTTCTTGATCAGGAGCTGGCTCTGTTGACATCTCAGATGTAACACTGGCAATTGTCTGAGGGGACCCCTCCTTAGGCGTGCTTGTTGAGCTCTTTGGTTTCTCTTTCTCGTCCACAGGGGAGGAGCTGGGTTTTGAAGAGGGCGTGTTCTCATTTGACACAGCTGATGGTTTTGAGTCATCATTGACAGTATTTTCTACACCATTTGTAACCATTTTTTCCACTGGTGTAGTGGATACTTTAGGTCGCTTGCGGGGTCGTTTTGGTTCCTTTGGCACTTGTATGTCTCTTCTGTTGTCTCCTTCGTCTTCTGAATCTGATAATTCCTCCTGAGGAGCCACATGTTTATCTGATGCACGGACTGCAAAGAAAAACAAATATAGCTTCAGAACACACAACTGAATAACATGTCCTACAGTGTTGAACACTTTTTACCCAAACACCAGTATGCATATTCTCCATACTATTCTCTATACAACTCCAAAGGTGCTGATGATGAGAATCTGACTAACAATCAAGAGCTTTTATAGTTGGTCATCCTTTTTTTTTTTTCTTTTTTTTTTTTTTGTGTGACCGTGATGTGTGTGATTTAGGGGTGATATTGTTTAGGAGAAATTAAATGCTAGTTACTCCAAAGGGTTAAGTATACATTACAAGCTATGATGAGACCTCACGCTGGTGCTTTTGATTGTCTCTCTGATATACATTACAAGCTATGATGAAACCTCGCACTGGTGCTTTTTGATTGTCTCCCTGAGATAATGAAAAGATGCAAGACTCACTACTTATTCTACGGTCAGGCTCCATGTCCTCATCAATGTCACTTTCCCCCAGTACTGGCGCATCATCAGGAATGGCTGAACAAATCATTAAAAAAGTTATGGATTGTTATGCCTGATTACTTACTTGCTACTTCCTCTTAGAAAAGTGAACATGATTTTGTTGATTGAACTACAAACAGTAAATTGACAAAGAGCTAAAAGAACATAATCTCTTTCAAGTGTTGCTCAGGGTAAATCTTGCCACAAAAGATTGAATTTGGAAAAAGAAAATAATGAAACTGACCAAACACTGAGGTTTTTTCCTTATCACATTTACAGACATAAGCATTTTAAGCACTACTGAGATTAACTGTGCATTCTTCCTCAACCAGCCCTTCCCCAAAGGTGTTCCCTGTAAGTCCCAAGAAGGTCTGTTCATGTTTCCAGACATTACAGATTAATATGATGAGAAATCAATGACCAGACTGGCGGACATGCGGCATTTATTATAAATTATGATGCAATTTTCACTTACGATGCATCTGTACTCCTGGAGCATGAGGAAGCATTCTCAAGTTTTCAAACAATCTCTGTCTACACAAAAAGGCAAAAGATTAGAGAGTTTTTTTTATAGGTATCAGCACAGTCAGTACAAGTAGAATCTGAATAGGCTCTCTGTTTGAACGGCAACAACCTGGATTATAACAATAAACTACACAGCACTAAACAAAAAGCAAAATTAAGGAAACCTACTGCATATGCCTTGTGCTTCTGTGGAAAAAAATCTTAACAAAATAAAGTAAGTCTAAGTTCTTACTTGATTTTTTCCAGGTAGTCATTTGTATTTTGGTTAGCCATGTTGGATGGGCTAATGTGTAGTTTAAAGTCTGGACCAAAGTACTCAAAGTAATCATTGTAGGGGAGTTCTAGAAATAATAAGAGAAGATTAGGAAGGAGTGTTTGATAAATGTTAGGTAGTCTATCAAAAATAAGTACACTCATCAGATGTGGGTCTTTACAATCAATGAACAATAAACGGAGATTATCTACACAATCGAGTATAAAAATGTGATAATATAAACTTAAAAATACATCTGTTCATAAAAATGTTTTTAAATCTTCTGTCTTTATCTGGGATAAATGGAACTCATGTCCCCGTTTTCTTGGTGTTCTTGCCTATCTCGGCAGCAGCAAATCATGGAGTTGGTGGTTTTCTGGAGTGATAATCTTATTAAACAGAAGTTGATCTTTCTTCTCTATTAAGCTGATATCCTGAGATCTATCTTGGTGGCATACCTACATCTATATGCGTGTTTGCAGAAGTTATGTATTTGAGCCAAATACTTCTGACAAGCAGATCTCCAGACTTCTGTGTCATACACAAATAAGGACAAGATGAGGGAATCAAATAGCTTGTTAAGTTGGTCTTGAGAATAATCATAAAATTTGCAAAATCTCAAAATGTACAGTCAACTACTTGCTTTGGCTATAAGGTTGTTAACATGGATGTCCCCACAGCAAGGGTTTTCTTGAAATGTGATACTGAGCAACTTAAACCAGC